TCTTTTCTAACAAAGTAATTTATAGGTCCCCGTACCTCTTCTCTTCATGCAAATATTGATGAATGCGGAGGCTTCAGGCTGGTCATCCGCTTTGCAAGCTTCTGCCGACCTCTCGCTTCAAATGTCCTATTATAACGAAGCCTTAAGGTGAAGACTGAAAAAACTTTTTGAATCATTGAAAGTTTCTTTCACTGCTTTTTTACTTCATACTTGAACGTTCGTTTTTCCATATTGTAGTTTAAAATTTGGTCCTTTCTTCAAAGTTTTATATCTAGCGTCTGGGAACCAGTCATAGAGCCGGTAGAAGTTAGCACAGACAACTGGTCTCCCTGGAATCTTAAGATGACGGTTAGTTTTTCTTGAATGTGGACTTCTATCTAGTATTTTCTCCATTTTAGGTAAAAGGACGTAACAAGATGGATCCTCTGGACACCAGACCTGGTATGGATATAAAGATCGAAGCAGACGATATACTAAACCTTACCGTTACAAAGTCATTTCTCAGCTTGTTGAACAAAGTCTCTGAGGTAAGATAATTTTGCTGATGTTTGTATGAAATAATCTTTCCAAAACAGCTTGTGTATTTAGACCTTTGCTCATGCTGCAAATCAAATCAGCCCCCCAACCACTCGCCAGCTTCCTGGAAGCTCTGCTTTCCTTGTTCTCAATGAGACTGGTATAATCATTAAGATGACCGATACTGATACTTTACAGGTGCAAAAATATGGATATTAAGCATTTTCTTAAAACGTTTGTTTCAGGTGAGCGAGAATGGAGAAGAGCTAGAAGCACCTCATGGTCGATTCATAGATTTACGGATGAACAAAGAAGCAGCTGCGAGGGCTGCAGAGTCGGTAGGTGGACTTTCAATTCACCACCATTCTCGAGCTTTTTTTCGTCAATCGGGTTTCTTTACAGCAAGACAGGGAACGCCTTAGTAGCAACCAAGTGGAGCTAGGTGCGGATCTGCGCATAAATCTTTTGGACACTGTTCGAAATTTGAAAATTGGTCGTGCGGGTAAGGTCGCTATCCCTTTGCCGAAAAAGAGTGATGGTGGAAAGCAGTGGAAGGTCAGTGAATTAGAAATGATGCGGGCTACTTGGTATTTTTTAAGAAGTGAAAGCAATTATAGATCATTGCCGATACGAGTATTGAGAACGGCCGTCGTCTGGTAACCTTTACGTCTCATGTTAATGTGACAAATCATTTGGACGTTCCCATGGAACTCTACTCGAAAAACAACACCAACTTAGATTTGTTCGGAACTGTGGCTCCAGGAGAAACTTTGAATTTGGTAGTTCCATTGCTGTTCTCAGCCACTGGGGAGATCT